CCACTGTGGGTGCACCTTCCTGGTCACGAGGCTGGCGATGGCTGTGCCACCCACCGCACCTTGAGGTCCACACAAGCATCGGATGGCTTCCCCTCTTGCTGCCATGGTGGGGCAGGGCCCCTTGTGTTCTCCATGCAAACAACCTCCTGTTGATCTGTTTCTGCTCTTCTTCCTCCCCTTGTCATGGTGCCTTTGCAGAAGCTACTAAGAAAAATGTGTCTTGTTCTTGGGGGATGATTTGCAATTACATGAAGTTTAGGGCGTCTTTTTCACAGCCAGCAAGAGGTTGCTTTCATCCACGTATTTCCCTGTGCGTGCTGTTGGTACCAGGGTGAGCACTGCAGAGCAGAGAGTTGTCCCCAGGGGGACAGAGAGGGGCAACAAAGCTGGTGAAGGGGCTGGAGAACAACCCTGATGAGGAGCGGCTGAGGGAACTGGGGTTGTTTAGCCGGAGAAGAGGAGGCTGAGGGGAGACCTCTTGGCCCTCTACAACTCCCTGAAAGGAGGGTGCAGGGAGGTGGGTGTGTGTCTTTTTTCTCCCAGGTAACTCGTGCAGAACAAGAGGCAATGGCCTCAAGTTGCACCAGGGGAGGTACAGGTTGGATGTCAGGAAAAGTTTCTTCACTGAACGGGATCTCCGGCCCTGAAAGGGGCTGACTGGGGAGGTGGGTGAGTCACCATCCCTGGAGGTGTTTAAAAGACGGGTAGATGGGGTGCTTGGAGATATGGTTTAGTAGTGGACAGGTGCGGTTGGACTCAATCTCAGAGGTCTTTTCCAACCAGGAGATTCTGTGATTCTATGACTTTGTTGTCCCCAGGGGACTGTGCTGTCCCACTGCACTGGGTATAGCTGGGGACAGCAGTCCTACACCCAGGCCAGCACTGGCTGGGGCCAGGTCACAGTCACACTCTCCATCTGTGCCATTGTTTCTTTTTTTTAAGCAATAAATGCATCTCTGTGGCAACAAAAATATCAGTTCCCTTCTATAAATGAAGTGCTCAAATATTTTGTAGTTACAGAGTGTTTCAGTGACAGCGCCTGTGCTGTGATCTGATCTGGCTGTGTCCTTGCTCTGGATCTGCTTTGCCGTAATAGTGCTTTCATTCCTTGGCTCCCATTAGTGCCTTGATGAATAGTGGAAGATGTTTTTCAACAATTTGATGACTGAAAAGCAACATCTTACTGTTGTTTGGTCTCTGGTGCCTTTTCCCTGTTCATTATGCTTTACCTGGGAGTAACAGCAATGATTTAGAGTTGCAACATCAGCATCAGTCTCTGAACCTTGTGTTTTCTTTAACTGTAAATTCTGGGGAAAGAGAAGAAAGGAGGGTGAAGGAGGAAGTCTCAGTAGTGAGGTTTGTTCTTCTGACATTTCTAGGCTGGCTGTTTGAATCTGTGATGCCTCACAGCAACCAGACACATTGACTCCTAACTCTCTTGTTGGGTTCCTGGATAGAGGCCCCTTGGGTGGCTGCTCTGGCTCTACTCCTGGACAAGGTTCAGAGGCACCGGCCAGGCGCAGGGCACGCATTTGTGCACTGCAGGTCCACTGCTGTCACCAACACTCGTGCTAATGGCCTTAGTACAGAGGTCAAAGACTGCTTAGATATGAAGGCTGAATCACCTCCTTTTTAAACCCCTCAGCAGGATCAAGGCTTAGGGAAGCAGGCACGTGGGCTTGCCTTCTGGCTGATGGTGTGGATGGAGAGTGTGACTCTGGGACAGTCCTTTTGGCAGTTTCAGCCAACCATTGGGGCACTGAAACGAGGATGTCTTGTGATTAAAACAGCTGTGCACCAACACCCTTATGTGAAAAAGCCTGATGCATTCATTTTCTTCAAAGATTTGCTGATCCCACAAGCTCTTGTTAGTTAGAAGAGGTTTATCCTGTGACCTGAGGATCACAGAAATCAGTGGTGAGCCCATCACTCTACCCAGATATGAAAGAACTTGAAGTGCACTTATTTCACTTGCAAATATAAATAAGCCAGCAGCGTAGGTCTCGCTTCAGACTTTGTTTGCCTTGGCAGTGTCCCATTTACATGAATCAGAAGATGGTAGCAAAAAAGCACTGGAGATTCATCCTGAGGTTGGTCTCCCCTCCATCACAAACCTGCCTGTGCAGGCAGAGTGATTTGGAGAATACTGACACAGCCCACAAGCCTGGCTTCACTAAGTCCCTGTGTTTTGAACAATCCTGGCTGCAAAGGGTACTTGTTTCCTCACGCTGTTGTAATGCAGTGTCCTGTCTTTGGAAACCCTGTGTCTGGGTGTGCTAGAGGCAGGAGAGACCCGCAGGAAGCAGCTCTGGCTATGTCCTCTGCTCTTGTGACTTGGGCTCCTTGAAAGGAAGGGAGCTCCTGTGTTTCAAGCTGAGAAGCAGGAGGTCAGTTCTTAAGCTTACTGCATCTCTGCAACTTTTGGTAGGTCTCTGCATCATGCCATGCCTTAGTTTCTAAGCTGCAAAATAGGGATAAAAATTAAGAATTAAAAAAAACCCAACAAAACAAAAAAGGCCTTGAAGATTTAAGCAGTTGTAACTTGTGGTACCATCACCACCACGAGGCCCTTGATTGGTTTGAGCTTCAAGGCTGTGCTTTAATATTAATAATAGTAGAAATTTATAATTTCTAATGATATTAGTGATTGGGAACTTAGAAAATACACATTTTTAATTTTTTTTTTTTGTTGTTTTTATATTTCAGCAAATTCAGTAAAGCTAGAAATGCAAAGTGATGAGGAATGTGACAGGAAGCCCCTGAGTCAGGAAGATGAGATCAGGGCTCATGATGAAGGAAGCGGCCTGGAAGAGCCCCTCCCTGAGAGTAATGAGATGGCGGATAACAGAAAGATCCAGGAGCTATCAAGCGAGGGAGGAATCCGGCTTCCGAATGGTAAACTGAAATGTGACGTCTGTGGCATGGTTTGCATTGGGCCCAATGTGCTAATGGTGCATAAAAGGAGCCACACTGGTAAGCAGCTGAAAGAAAATCTGATGACTGCCTGTGGCATCTGATGTTGATATTACCTGACAACTCTTCTCTCTTCCCTTTTTGTTCATGGGGTAGCAGGAAGCTGGGGAGGGGAAAGGCGGGCTTCATTGCTTGGGTTCTCTTTCTGCTTCCCAAATTCTGGTGATGCTGTGTTTCTGGCAAGCATGGTGCTTCCTTGACATTGATTTCCAGCCTTTGGTTCTTCAAAACAGCACAAAAGTCTGGAAATTACCTTTTTTTTTACTGTTCTTGACCGGGAACAAAATAATGAGAGTTGTTCTCTGGCATGCGAATGTGTGTGTGTGTGTGTGTGTGTATGTGTGTTCATGTGTGTGCACATGTACAAGGTTTTTGAGCCTTTGAGGTGAGTCGTAGATGATCTTCCCTGGGAGGTGCTCACAGGTGGACAATGCCAACAGCTTCCTGGGGATCTCACACTTCCTTGGCAAGGGGTGGGGCAGGATGCCAGTGGCCTGGCAAACCTGGGATTAGCAAACCCCAAAGGTGACATCTCATTCCTAGAGATTTCATTGCTGGGGTGGGCTTGCTGCTCATTGCATGACAGCTCCCTCGGGGAAACCTCACCTGAACTGCTCTTGTGGGCTAACACTCACCATGTAGGTACCATTTTTGTGGCACCTTCCAGTGTTTGCCCTCTCCTATCTTTGTTTTTTGTTTTTTTTTTTTTTAATTAATATTAGTACTACTACTGGTTGGAGACAAACCCAGCTTAGTAGGCGTATGGATTTGAGAATTCAAGAGTCAGACAAAACCTTTGCCATATGCTGATTGAGCAGATCTTTAGGGCCTAAAAGATGAGGCCTTGAGTTCCAAACAGGGAATTTCAGGAGAGTTTTGGCTAAAATGACAAACTGGGGTGCCGAAGAGGCCAGTACTCACTTGCCTCTGCTGCTCCTCAGATGGGAGTGGTGGTTACCTCCAACAGGAAAAAAGTACAGATGGTGCTGGAAGACAATGCTCTCTGGTCTTGCAGAGATCTACCTGGCAGAGCCTTTGATTCAAAAAAGCACTTAAGTTTGTGCTTAATTTTTATGAGATTTAAGCACATGTAAGTTACCTGAAGTGCTACAATATATGCTTAACTTGAGATACACACTTAAATCTTATTGAGGTTAAGCACAGATTTCTCTGTTGGAGCCTCAGTGGGTGTTTGTTCTTATTTTTTGAACAAAATGAAAGATATTTTGTTTTTTTATCTTTCTCTTTTATTATTTAATGTTGGGAGAAGCTCACACTGCCTGTGAGATACCTGCTGGGATATGAAAAGAAAAGTGGGGTTTTAAAGTAGAGTAAGAAAGACTTTGTGTAATCCCTTTGTAAACCTGGTCATTTGCAGTGAAGTAGTGTGCACTTGATGGGAAAGAAATCAATAGAATTTCTGTACAGAGGAAAAATAAATATATATTACATAGTTAATGCCCTGTATATAAGTTGTATACTGATAATAACAACATAAACCTATAAAGCAAAGCATTGCAGTATTGTTCATGATGCACTCAGGATTTTAGACAGCAGTTATGACAGGGGAAAAGCATTAGCTGGAGAACCAAAATCTTGATTAACAATTTGACACACTAGTACGAGGAAGGGGAGAGAGAACAAAGCGCGTAACAGGCTGAGTCCCCAGCTTTCTGCCTCTCTGAAAGGTTCCGTTGGCACTCGCACATATCTGAGCGTATGTATTGTAGGTGCATCGGAGTCCACGTATTTGAACTTGAGCCGCTAAATTAGACCTGCTAAATTTAGATTTAGGTACCTAATTACCAGGTCTGCATTTTTTGAGGTACTGAATAGCTAACCCAGCTTTTAAATACAGACAAGCTACCGTTTTCATGTTAAAGACGACATGCAGATTCCAAGTGAAGAGAGAGAAATCTCATCTGCGTGCAGGGGAGACGGGCTGTGTGTGCCTCTGTGGGTAGGAATTGCATAACTGAGAGCTTTTTCCTTGGGGCTACTGCCGGTTCCTCGTAGAGCTCTGACTCTTTTCCCATCTGAGCAGAGGAGCTGTGATGTATTGCTCTATACAGATGATTTCAAGCATATAGAAATGGCATTCCTTTTAACGTGCAGCTCAGTGCTCTACTCTCAGTAAACCAGTTGGCAAATTTTGCGGGGGATTTTTCCCCCCCCCCCCCCTTTGTTTTTTTTTTTTTTAATACATGCTGCTACTTCACTGTCCACAACAGAAGGGGAAGTTTGCTTGGATTTCCACATCCTTGATTTTAAGGAGTATTTTTAACATACTGGTATCTATCTTCTAAAGTGCAGTATTTTAAAATATATTGCCACTTCCTTGGCAGCGGGGCGGGATGGGCTGGCCCCAGCTCTGGAATGAGCCCTGACCTGTGGGTAGTCTGGTTTTGCAGCCCAAGGGAGAATGGTGGAGGGAAGGGAGGTTGTCCCTAGTGAGTGGAAACAGATTATATTCTTTATCAGCTAATGCAACTGGCATGTAAATCTTTACCTCTCAGAGCCAATTTGAGTATGTTTTGAGAACTGAATCCTGCTTTACTTTCCTCTTTAACTGCACAAAACCAACGCGTGGTCTGGCCAGTTGTTTGCATTGGCAAAAACTAAAGTCCTTTTCCCTTCCCAAAAAACCTGTCAGCATTCTACGTAATCACACAAAATGCTGTGGTCCATAGTAGAGGCTGTAATTTGCATGTATGCTGGGATGAGAGTGTGGCTTTCCTTACACCAGGGACCCAGGCTTTGAGAGAAGCTGTGCCGTATGGCTTTGGCTGCACATAAAGGGGCACAGTTTTCTCCAACCATTATTCATCTGTTCCTGAGGAGCAGTTGTCTTCCCTGCCATGTTATGGGAGTTCAGTGAAACAGATACTGGTACGGCCATGGATGAGGCCAGAGTAGATGAGCTCAGTGTCCCATTTCTCATCTTCACGTATTGGAGCATCCATTTCCTCTAATGCCCGCAGTCACCTCTTCCCATGATACACCAAGCTGAAGATTTCCCATTCATCCTTTGGATCTGCTCAAGTGCTGCCTCGCGCATGTGGTGCCAACAATGCTCTGGGCCATGGCACCTCTGTCACAGAGCCCAAGGTACTGCTCATCTGATACTGTCAAACACAACTTTTCTCTGAAACACTGATAATTCCAGTGAAGTGTTTTTGCAGTCTGCATGGACATCAGGAGAAGGCCTTTCCATTTATTTGTCATCGCTGACAGAAAATAAATAAAACGCTTGATGTGGGAATTAAGTGTGATGCACTCCCTGCTTTAATGAGCAGAGTAGCCCCCTCACTCCTTCCTTCATGTACCACATCCTCATGTCAGAAAAATAGCATGTTTCAGCTTTGATTTATTTTCCTCCTTTCCCATACCATCTTCTTTTGGTCCAAATTTTATATTCTACAGCACATGCCCCAAGTTGCAGCATCTTTATCAGTTTTTCTTACTGGGGGAGGTGACTGGTCACATAATATTGCCACTGGATGCTCCAGGAGCTTGTGCTTGGGGATGTTGAGGGAAGGGGAGAGGAAGAAGATAAGGTCGATAATCCAATTTGTCTGAGGTAATGAAAAGGAACTCCAGTGACTTCTCACCTCTTTAGGCTTTCTGCTAGTGGGTCTGAATTAAAATGTCCTTGCTCCTCATTTTGGGTAAAGCAGAAACCGTTTACTGGTACAGCTGTGCTGCTGCCTCTGTGATCTGCAAGGTCCATGCATTGTTCTCCCTTGTGCTGTGAACTGTGATTTTTTTTTTTAATGTTTTTTTTTTTTTTTTTCTCTCCACATAACATCCAGTCCACTGTGGGATTTTGAAATGTTTTTTATTTCTGAGGGAGGGTTGGGATCATCCTCACTGTTTTAAGAACACTCAGAGCTTAAATGCTTTCTCTGTGTGGACAGCAAAGCTGTGTCCCTGGGAATAGGGCACGATGCAGCAGGGATAGCAGGCTTACCCCACTCTGTCTTTGGCTGCTAACAGGTCATTTTGAGGCTTTTTTGGGGGTGCTTACTGTAGGAGGGTCTCAGAACTTTGCTTGCACTCCATGTGCATTTCAGTACCATAAAGTCAGTGAAATAAGATACATTATGTGCCCATGAGGAAAATCCTCGAGTTCTACTTTAGCATCCATAGCATTATAAATGAACATCAGCAACACTGGAACTCTGATTGCCATTGAATCTTTTTTTTTTCTTTTTCATACAGAGTTCAGGTTTTTGGGACACAATTAATAAATGAGGAAAAACCCTAATTGTCCTCTTCAGTATAAAAGACTTTTATGCCTAAAGCAGCTAACCAGGAACAAATTTAAACAAATGGTCATATTAACACAACTAACTCCATTGGATGGCCTGTCTTATTCTTCTAGTAGAAAGGTTTTATTTGGTTTAATTTGTAACCTAGTGCAGGCTCTTACTTCTTGCAGTATGAATTGATTTGGCAATGAATCAAAAATTGTAGGGTGAAATTTCTAAAAGTGATGTTTTCTACTTAGGTTCCTAAATCTAACTTTTCCATAAGTCTCATTTTCTACTTAAGCATAAGGAAGGAGAGCTTAAATTTTTCGAAACTGCTCTCTGCATAAGGATGTGTGTTACTTGCAGTACTCAGTAGCTAAACTCTTCTGATATTTTTACCAGTTCCCTTGAAATTTTTTTCTCTCTTAAGAGTACGGTAATAAATTTGTGTGCAGAGGACACTTGGAGATTTGTCACTGCTGTTTTATAATAAATTGCCTTATCTGGAAGTAGGTTTTTCCCAACAAAAAAAACCTAGTGAAATCACTGATTTCAAGTGATGTGCAGTCCGTTAAGTGAATCTGATAGAACAGTAACTAGGTATGTAGACTAGATAGTCCCCAGAATAACAAATACAGAAATGGAGCAAAGTCTGATGCTCTGTATTTTGCCGAGGTAAAGGCAGGTTGCAACTCACTGCCTGACAGTGTGTCGGTAGTGCAGCTGATATTTCATTTGTGCCTCTGGGACAGAGCAGAATCAGAGCAGTTGCATCTGATGAATCAGGAGAAATGTTTCATTTCAATTGAAAATTAACAAAAAGCCTAATACAGAAGCATGAAGATCAGTATTATTAGTATGAGCAAATGCTTTCTGATAGCAGCAGCATGGGCACAGTAATTTTTCAGGTTAAAAAAAAAAACCCCAAACAACCTGTTTGAGAAGTACCTAAGTTATCCTTTGCATATCAAAAGGATGTGCCAAGCAAAAAGGCAGAGATCTTAGATACACATTTAGCCAGGACAGATGTTAAATGTTGTCCTGCTGGACCTGGTTCTTGTGTGTAGAAGAACTCTGTCCTGGCTTTCCTTGTTATTGTCAAGAGACTTTAAAACTAGCATTTTTTTAAAAAAAAGGTCATTAAAACATTCACAGGAAGGGGCTTTGAGCAGTGCTGTAGAAATAACCAGGCCTTGCTGTTAACGAGAACAACTAGTGCATTATTTTGTGAGTCACTCCATTTGATTTCAAAGGGACAAAAGTTACCGGCCAAGGGTTATGAAAAATCTAAGTCTCCTTGGCTGCGAGGTCTGCAGGCTCTTTGTCCTCAGTTAAATTTCTGTTTTGATACAGAAAATATCACTGATGTATTTTGCACTGGTATGAGATTCAAAGAAGGATAACTCATACTGAAACTTCTGCGCAGCGCTTCCGTGGTGGGGTGGTAAAGGAGAATTATTGCACAGGGAAGCTTCCAATTAAGCAGAAAAAGGAGTCAGTTTGCTTTTTGAAATAACATTTGACATATACTTGGTAAAATATGAAAGCTATTAGTAGGAAGTTAATCAGTTCGTTCACCTAGTTTCAGGTTGTATCAGCTAGACAGCGTTTGTAACTTGTGCTATGAGTTAATACTGTAATTTAGAGGTAAATATTTGAAATCATACCTTTTAATTAATACTTTAACTGTAAAGTGATAAGACCCTATTTATTTATTTATTAAATTTAATTTTGTTATCAGGGTTGTTCTCTGGCACAAGCCCCTCTTACTAAGCCTTTAGGAAAGGTAATACTTTGCAGCTCTGGCTTACCTTGCCTTGTCTATTCCTGAACTAACTGTAGAGAATTAAAATCCCTGCGCTAGAGATCAAGACTTTTTAGGCATTCTTGGTTTTGTCTGGCTCTACATCTTAAATCTGCAGTTGAAAAGAAACATCTCTTTTGTTTGGTTAGCTGTTCCTAGCTCTCTGCCCACTCAGATTTTTTTTTTTTTTTTTTTTTTTTTTAAATCACTAGGGTTTGGGGGTTTCTGCCCTGGTTTATCTCTAAAATAGAGCAAAGTTTAATACTTAAAGTAGACTAAAAATATTTTGCACTTACATTTCAGTCACGTAGCGTCCAGTGCTGAAAAGCAAAAAGCTTGCTTAGTCACCTTTTGGTACATGTTCTTCTTATCCAGAGTTCTTATTTTAATAAATCAGTAGAAGTATAGAGTCAAATGGTAAATACACATAGCTATAAATGGTGAAAATCCCACCATGCTTATAATTGTCATTACCCTCTTGTAGTCATGTATGCCACCTGTTTAATAAGTTTCTGGTATGTCTGCTGCCATCACCCCCAAAGATAAGAAAACATTTTAAACACAGTCAGGAACTGTCAAATAGAAAAGAAATATATTTGAAGACTTTTTGTGAGTGGATGTTTAGTTTGAAAGGTGATGAATTTCAGCCTATGGATAAAAACTTCCAGTTTTCACAGAAGAGTAAGGGAAGTGAATAAGGATGTCAAGGTTGTTATTTTGTTATTAGGAAATAATAATACTGGAGAACAGCTTACAAACCTGATAGGAAAAGGCAGCAGGAGAAATAATTGCAAGACAGTCTTCTCAAGGCACTGAAGTAATAAAGAAAGGTGGTTTGTTAGGATCTGAAGTGGGCATCAGTCAGCAGAGTTCTTGGATAACCAGCAAATTCTTCTTACTATTCAGTCATTATTTTTTTGTGCACCCCTCTTTTGGATAATGGTCTCTGATTAGCTGTGCTAAATGTAAAAGCTGCTCATCAGTAGTGCAAAGGTGTAAATAAAATTAACGGTCATCCCACAAGCCTGCAGCGTAAACCAGGACGAGGAATCAAATAATTGTACAAAAGTATAATAAACAGATCAAAGCAGTTATTTACCTGGAAATAAACCAGTAGGAAAAATTAATTCATATTAATTGATGCTGGCTTTAAATAGATACAAAGGTTATTTAAGGTAAAGTGTGCTATTGTAGCAGATTTTGTCTGTTGCAAGAGAGGAGCAGACTACTGGTGACTTTGTGGTGAGCGTTCTCATGTCATCTTTGCCACTGAACTTTAGTGCTGGGATTATTTCAATTCCTGACCAAAGGTTTTCAGCATCCCTTCAGCTGCCAGTTTATTGAGGAATAATACCTGCTCATATGTAGCCTCCAAAATATCAAAGATAAGTAGGTGATGTAGTGGATAAAACACATTAACTACGTAGTTTTAAATGCAGCTTGGGTAAAGAGAAAGACTTTAGACTTGGTAAGAAACTTGCTGCCTTCTTTAATGTTGTCATCCTGAAACTGAAGCGATCATTCCTGAACACTGAGAAACGTGTCAGAGGAAGGGGTTTTGCCTGTTTTCTCAGACAGCAAAAGCAAAACAGAAAAGAAAAAACACCCATCTATTTTTCTACTGCAGTCTCCTTACGTATCTTTGTTACTGACATTTTGAAATGATATAAAAGAAGATAATGGCTAATCAGATCCTTTAAGTATAGTGTGGGAGTTTAAAAGGGAAACCACAAACTCTTTATCAATTCCAATGAGCTCGTGTTCAGTGCATTGGAAGGTGAGCTTTATGCCTTGATTTTTTTTTTTAATTATTTTTTTTTTAATCATGACTCCATAGTGTTCTTGGCAAGATTATAGGAATCTTAGAATATTCTTCAGTGCATCTGCAGTGGTTTCAGATGTAATTTCCAGCTCTCACAGGTGAAGTTGCAGAGGTATGGCACATATTTGGCACACCTGCCTTCTGCTACCCTCCTGGTAGGACTGTAATGCTGGCAGTGATTTAAACCCCTGGAGCAAGAGCTGCTAGTGGACATCTGTAAGAGCTCTCTTCCTCCCTCTCTTTCCATTGAATCAACAGACATATGTTGGACTTTACACTAGACACATGCACTACTTTGATAAAAACATAGCATTAATTTTGTGCAGCAAGGGAGTAATCGTTTTAAAGCAATTGAAAAAGGCTTTGGAGAGATGTGAGAAATCTGAGAATGAGTTTGTTTTTCACGAGAACTGTGCTTCAGGCCAATGAATTCAACCTCAGAAAATCCCAGCAGGCATTGACCAAGTCTCTCTAATAAGTGATATGCTGAAAAAAAATGAATGAGGCCGCTTACATCTGAAATCTGATGTTCGAGACCTTGTTGAACTGGGGCCCTAGGTGGTGAAAACATTTCGGCACCCAGAGCCCAGCTGCAGTAAAGCGCTTAGGCTGGTGGCCAGCACGAGTAGATGCTTGTGCCCTATTGATTTGCACTGTACCCGGTGGGACAGAAGTAGATGATTAGAGCTGACTGCCTGCCCAAAAATGCTGGAACAGACTGAGTGTCCTCAGCAAATGTTGACATAGAGTATGGTTTTGATAATATTTCACAAAACCTGTATGAGTTTGTCAGGGTTTTTCCTCTAAATAGTAATAATTTTAAAAAGAAAAGGACGATTGTTTTTATGGTCCCAGTCCTGCTATCCAGGGCAAATATGAAGGATTAACATTAAAATAAGTTTTGGATGTGTGTGTGTGTGAATGCATGGGGTGAAGAGAGAAGGTAAGTTGTAGAGTTTCTGATATTTTTTTTTCTTTCTAACAAGTCTTTTCAATTAATTTTACTTCAAGCATAAATTTGCTTATTTCACAATTTAATGGTGTAAATTTTTTCTCAATGTTTGCTACTGCCCAAAGCTTGTGGGCCTGATTCTCACTTGCTTCAATTCTCTTCATACCACTCTAGCAATGCAAAGCAGCCTTTAAAGGGGGATTTCAATTAAAATATAATGTAAGCACAAGATTTGGTTTGAAGCAAAGACCTTAGCACCTGTCCAAGTCCAATTGTTAAGATCAGTTCTAAATACTCATATGGATTGGACATATACTAAAAATAAATGCAAAACCATAGAGGTAAATACTACAAAACCACAGTTATGGATCTCAGTTTTGAGCAGAGCTCATCTTTGGTGACGGATAAAACCTCTGAGGTGGAGAATTTCAAGAAAATCGGGCTGCATTAATCACCTCAAGGAAAGAGCCTCAAATCACTGTTGGAGGCTTTGCCCATTGTGCAAAAGAAACGGCCTTTGACTTCAGCAAGTGCTGTGTGGTGGTGGGGACCATTCCCGTGTAAGATGGCACTGTTACAAAGAGTGGGGTGACAGGCTCCATGCATCTTCTGATGTTTCTTGACAGCTCTCTCCCTTCTATTTCCTTTCCAGGTGAACGCCCCTTCCACTGTAACCAGTGTGGAGCTTCTTTTACCCAGAAGGGGAATCTACTGAGGCACATCAAGTTGCACTCTGGGGAGAAACCGTTCAAATGTCCCTTCTGCAGCTATGCCTGCCGACGGAGGGACGCCCTCACAGGACACCTCAGGACGCACTCTGGTGAGCCCACCGTGTCTTCTCTTCCCTCTTCTTTTTTCCTTTGTCATTACTATTCAAGTGAAGCAGGTTGTAAAAATATTTGTGTGTTCTTGGTGGCTCTGGGTCTGTACCATCCTTTTCAGATAGTGCAGCTCTGAACTTTGGGAAAGCCTTGATGTGAATCAGAAAAATTGTGGTTCAGCCACACCTCTCCTTTTGTGCAAATGAGCTCCTCCGCCGATGCTATCGTATTTCCCTTCGCATGTCTCCTTGGTTGTATCCAGGCTTCTCTGGCAGATTGTTTTGACACACAGCCCCAAAGTGGCTGTGAAATTCCAAAGATCACAAACAATAACTGTGTACTCTTGGAAGCCTGTTTTGCAGTTCATACCCATTTCTTTGTCTAATAAATGCCATATGCTGGTGGAGTTCATAATTGTTCGTCTTTCAAAAACCTCCTAATTGTACTTTTGATTCTGTTACATGTTTCTGTAAAGCCCTAATTCATGGCAGCCACAGCACTCGCCCTAGAGCAGAAGGTGGCAGAGAGAGACTGGGTTTGTCTTGCCTTGCTACTTGATAGTACCATGACCATAATCAAGTCTACTTGATACAGTTTCTTGATAGGTTCTGAAGAAATACTGGTCAAATAACTGCAGGTTAGTAGTCGAGTTGGTAGCCCTGGTGATCATAGTCAGATGTGTTTCTAGTCCCTGTACACTACACCAAGGGGCCACGTTCTGCCCTCTTACTCATTTGTGTAGGACTCTGGAGTAAGATCTTAACTTGCCGCATTTCATATCTCCTGGGATATTCAGCTTTTGTGTCCAGGCCATTTATAGGAGATTATGATTTTCATTGTTGAATGAGCAGAGATAATTGGACTGGTTACAAGTGACAGCATTACAGATGAACTTTTCTGAGGTGTTAGCAAATGTCTGACTATTGAAACACAGTGGTTGAAGTGCAGCTGCAGACAGAAACTCATGTTCGTGTGAAAATGTAGTCATGGAGCTTCCTGACTCTTTATACTGATTTCTTCTACAGGGTCAGCCTCATTTCACTGGAAGTTTCTGTTTTATGAACATTAGGTTGGTTTTAGGATACGGAGTTGCCTGACATTTCCAGGAGTCAGAAAGGATAAGCTACTAAGCTTCTCCAGGTAGACTGTGGAGCATGCAGGAGGCTGTGTTGATGCAAACATACTGCTGACAGAATGAGCTTTCAAGGGAGTGCAAGCGTAGGGCTAGGCTAAGAGAGAATTGCTTGAGAGTTGTCAGCCAGGAGGATTTGATCTGAAAGTCAGAAGGGAAAATGTCTGTGGAACTGTGAGGTGCAGTCTTCACACATCTGACCAGAACGGTAGTTTCAACTTGAAATTTAGTAAAAAAGAAAACATGATAAAAATATTCACAATTAAGATTAAAAAGACAGTTGTAACATAAAATAGCCCACATGACAAAACATGAACATTGTGGTTGAAGATTGTTTTCATAATATGAATATAGATTTTGTTACCTAGATACAGCTATTGATGGAGATGGTTCATTCTTCCTGTTTGAAAAGTGCTGATGTTTCTGCTTCTTGCATAAGGATGAAATGTAAAGGTGTGGAATTTTCAGAAGGCACCTAAGATGCTTAGGCACACAAATTCCCCTGGAGCTCCTTCCCTAACTGACTTAGCTGTGTTCAATTTGTAACACAGTAACAATTTGTAACACAATTTGTGTTTTCTTCTCAGTGGAGAAAGTCTCATCCCTCTAAGCAGTCAGCTACAACAGTTTTCAGC